ATCCTCGGGTGAGAATAGAAAAAAAAAAAAAGGAAGCAAGATCTCAAATAGACAACCTCACCTTATAACTCAAGGAACTAGAAAAAAAGAGAAGACTAAACCAAAAGTCAGCAGAAAGAAGGAAATAATAGAGATTCGAGCAGAAGTAAATAAAATTGAGGGGGAAAAGGCAGTAGAAAATATCAATGCAACCAAATAGGTTTTTTTTAAAAAGATCGACAAAATTGACAAACCATTAGCTAGACTAATGCAGAAAAAAGAGAAAATTAAAATATCTAAAATTAGAGATAAAATGAAACGTTACAATTCATGTCTCATAAAGAAAAAGAATTATAAGAAACTACTATGAACAATTATATGTTAACAAATTAAATAACCTTAGAAATGGATAAATTCCTAGAAACAAACAACCTACCAAAGATAAATCATGAAGAAAGAAAAGGTATAAACAGGCCTGTAACTTGTGAGGAGACTGAAGTAGTCATAAAAAACCTGCCACCAAATAGAAGCCCAGGATCAGATTGTTTTACTGGAGAACTCTATCATTTAAAGTGTAATTAACACCAGTCCTTCTCAAACACGTCTAAAGAACTGAAGAAGAGTCACTTCTAAACGTATTCTGTGACCCACCATTGCCCTGATACCAAAATCAAACAAAACACAAGAAAACTACAGACCAACATCCTTGATGAATAGTAATACCAAAGCTGTAAATAAAATACTAGCAAATGGAGTTCAATAGCAAATTAAAGGAATCATATTTTATAACCAGATGGGATTTATACCTGGACACAAGGATGACTCAACATATGAAAATCAACCAATATAATACACCTCATTAACAAAATGAAGAACAAAAACATGATTATCCCAATCCATGGAGAAAAAACATTTGACAAAAGTCAACACTTTCATAATAAAAACATTCAACGGACTAGGAATAAAAGTATACTATCTCAACATAATAAAGCCATATATAAAAACCTCACAGTTAAACAAAAATAAATTAATTTTAAAAATAATAATAATGTTGAGTTAAAAAACAACTCACAGTTAACATTATACTCATTAGGAAAAGCTTTTCCTTTAAGATCGGGAACAAGTAGACAAGGATAATCGCTCTCGCCACTACTATTCGACACAGTAGTGGAAGTTCTAGGCAGAGCAATCAGACATGAAAAAGAAATAAAAGGCAAACAATTTGGAAAAGAAGAATGAAAATCATATCTGTTTGCAGATTATATGTTTTATATATAAAAACCCTAAAGTAGCCACCAAAAAACTATTAGACCTAATAAATAAATTTATTAAAGTTGCAGATTATAAAATCAACACCCAAAACCAGATGTATTTCCATAAATTAACAATGAACAACCTGAAATGGAAATTATGAAAACAATTCCATTTACTGTAGTCTCAAAAAGGATAAAAGATTTAGGCATAAACTTAACCAAGGAGCGAAAGTCTTATGCATTAGAAACTATAAAACATTGCTAAAAGAAATCAAAGAAGCTACTTTTTCAATCAACATGCATTTATTTTATGCTACCCTATCCCTTGAACAGTAGAGATGCCATAAGAGTTACGTAAATAGAATAGTATACAGCCATCTATATGTGGTTAGAAACCTAACATTTTTACATGTTAAAGCTCAGACAGATGTCAGGGATCATAAGACGATCATGCTATACCAAGCAGAGTTAGCCATTTTTTTACACTTTGTAACAGGCAATAATTTTATATAAATATCCTCAACTCTGTGCTTTTAGAAAATTTTTTTTATTTTTCAATTACAGTTTACAGTCAATATTATGTTGTATTCATTTCATGTGTACAGCATAGTGGTTAGACAGTCATATACTTTACAAAGTGTTCCCCCTTGATATTTTCAGTATCCACCTCGCGCCATACATAGTTATTACAGTATGTTTGACTCTATTCCCTATACTATAATCTACATCCTCATGACTATTTTGTAACAACCTATTTGTACTTCTTTTTTGTGTTGTTGTTGTTGTTTTTTTTTTTTAAAACAAAACAGAACATGATTATATTTAATACGCAACTTTGGTACAACCAAAAAATAAAACACCACAGTAAAATAATAGCAAAAAAACACGAGAAATGGTTAACATCTTCAATCATAAACAAGCTCTTAAAAACCAGTAACAGAGGCACTATAATCCAAGAGAACTGGAAAAAAGAAAATGAAATAATACAAATGACAACTAAGATGAATAAAAAGTAAAAGGATTAAGAATCTTAATCAATTTGTACTTCTTAATCTTTTTACTTTTTTCACTCAATTCCTCAACCACTCTCCACTCTGGCAAACATAACTCTCTTTTGTTTTGTTTTTTTTATCCTCACCTGAGGACATTTTTTCATTTGTTGTTCAGACAGAGTGAGAGGGAGAGAAAGAAAGAGAGAGAGAAAGAGAAACATTGACGTGAAAGGAACACATCGAGTGGTTGCCACCCACATGACCCAACCAGGGGCAACATCAATGTGAAAGAGACACATCAACTGGTTGCCTTCCATGCATGCCCAGATTGGGGCAGGGGATCAAACCTGTAACCCAGGAAAGTGCCCTTGAGCAGGAATCGAACCCATGACCCATCAGTGTGTGGGCCAATGCTCTAACCACTGAGGCACACCAGCTAGGGCTGTGCCACAGTTTTTTATCCTCTCATCTATTTTTTTTTTTCATATTTTTCTTTATTGATTTTAGAGAAAGAGGAAGGGAGAGAGAGAGAGAAACATCAATGAGAGAGAACATCGATCGGCTGCTTCCTGCATACCCCTATTGGGAGGGAGGGGGAGAGAGAAACATCAATGTAAGAGAGACACACTGACTGGTTGCCTCCCACACTACCCCAACCAGGGCTGTGGATCAAACTGCAACCAAGGTATGCGTACCCTTGACCGGAATCGAACCCAAGACTCTTTGGTGTGTGGGCCAACACTGTAACCACTGAGCAAAACCGTCCAGGGCTCTTCTGCCCATTCTTAAATGGGATTTTTTTTTGTGGTGTTAAGTTATATAAGTTCTTTATAAATTTTGGATAATAACCCCTTATTGGATGTATCATTGACAAATATCTTCCCCCATTCAGTAGATTGTCTTTTTGTTGTGTGAATGGTTTCTTTCTTAGTTTGATGTAGTTCCATTTGTTTAATGTTCTTTTCTTTCTCTTGCCTGAGAAGATATGTAAGGAAAAATATATCTACAAGAAATGTCCACAATTTTAATGTCTATGTTTTCTTCTAGTTTTATGGTTTCAGGTCTTACATTTAAGTCTTCAGTACAGTTTGAGTTTATTCTTGTACATTGTATATGATATAAGAAGGTAGTCTAGTTTCATTTTTAACATGTATCTGTCCATTTATTGAATAGACTCTTTTTACCTCATTGTATGTTCTTGCCTCCTTTGTCATAGACACAGATTAATTCACCATACAGGTGTTGATTTATTTCTGGGCTCTCTATTCTGTTCTATTTATCTATATGTCTGTTTTTATGAGTACCATGATGTTTAAATTGCTATGGCTATGTAATATAGTTTGATATCAGGTGTGAATATTCTTTTAAATTCTTGCCTCTTTCATGCAGAGAGAATCCATTCAATCATTAAGTCCGGTAGAGTCTCCATTCCTTCATATATATTTTTCTTTCTTTTTTTTTTTTTGAAGCTCTCCTTCTCCAGAGAGACACCAGAGATGACTGGTAAAGAATACAGGCTCCAGGGTGGAACTGCCTAAATGTGTGTAATGACTGAGTCACAAACATCACCATCTGAGACAAATACAGTTTCAGTTTCCTCACGTGCAAACTCTGAATGATGACAATAGAATTACCATTGTCTGCAAAATAGGCTGAAGAATTAACAGGCTGATTCGTGCAAAGAGCCTAGAACAGTGCCTGGCACACAGTAACCCTTCCACAAATACCCTGTTTCTTATAAGCCCAAGTGCCGTTATTTCTGGACCAGGGGAAACACTGCTTGTAAGGATTGTTACAAGAGTTTCTTGATGAGTTTTCCTGACTCAAATCTGGTCCTTTTTAACCTTTCCCTAGAAGCAGCCAGAATGAATTCCCAAAGAATAATGGTCTTCTTGTGACAGAATTCCTCAACAGAATTTATGACCTTGTGATTTATCCTTTCCGTGGACAAGTCCCTCCATTGTTTGAGCAGCGTCTTCAATAGACCTTGGGATCTCCTTTCTCACCCATCATTTATACTACAAACATAAACAACTGTTTGTCTTTCTGTGAAAGTTCCTAGGCTTTCCTTTCTCAGGTACTTTTCTCTTCCTAGATTATCCCACCAGTGGACAAACACATCACTGATCACTGGCGCCCCAACAACACGTGACAGAAAGAACCACTGGGCAAAGTGAAGCCTTCTGGGAAGCTTGCTCTTGCCTGAGGCCAGGTGCTGCGCGGGGTGGCCCGGGGTGGGGCTGTAGCGTCTACACTGATATTTTCAGGCTTCGCTGCTGTTTTTGCAGACCAGGCTCCTGCGCTTTGTCACAACCCAGCCCAGTGGGAAACGGAATGATGTGGTGGCAATGCGGGCAGAGAGGCCTATAAAACATCCTATTCCAGCCCATGGAGAACCTCAGGGGTGTGCTAGGGCCTATAGAAACAGATTAAACGGGCACGGGACACAATCTGCCTTAACAAGTTCTCTTTTCTTCCTATTTCTCTATTCCTTCTCCTTTTCCCAAGCTACTATCTGACTTTCACCGTCCCTCGAGCCAATAGTCCCTCTTTCTCTTTCACTCTCGTGCATCTTTGTCTCGTTTCTCCCACGCGCGCCCAACGGCACCGCCCAGAAAACGAGTTAGATGCCTTGGGCAGAACGTGCGCCCTGACCCATCGGAGACCTACGCTGGCCCTCCAGGACACCCTGCTCACCGAGCCCTGCACTCGGCGCGCCTCTAGCGGCGGTGCCTGGAAGTGCAGGGGCTGACTCAAGGGGGAGCAGAGCTGTGCCATGAGGTCAGTGTCGACCTTACTTTCCCAAGGCCATTTGCTCCCAGCGCTGGTCTTGGCGGTGCTCCTCGTTGACTCCCTCGGTGAGGATTTACTTTTCCACCCGGAGTGGGGGTTTGACTCGTATGAAATCACCATCCCCAAGAAGCTGAGCTCCAGGGGAGGGCAGCAGGTTGGGACCAAACACATGTCCTACCTCCTGCAGTTAAAAGGCAAGAAGCATGTCCTCCACCTGTGGCCCAAGAGGTTTCTGTTGCCCCGGCATCTGCCGGTTTTCTCCTACACAGAACAGGGGGAACTCCTGGAAGATTACCCTTATATACCCAGGGACTGCAACTATGTGGGCTTGGTTGAAGGAGCTGAGGATTCTGTGGCTACTTTCAGTACATGCACAGGGGCTCTCCGAGGCATATTGACAATTGATGACAAACATTACCAAATGGAGCCCCTCAAGACCTCTTCCAGTTTTGAACATATCATATATTTTCTGAAGAACGAGGAGGAATTTCGGGATCATATCTGTGGCTCAACAAATGATATGCCACAGCATACGGCAATAGCCCAGCTATCGCCTAAGAATATGGCTAGGAAGAGTGACGTTACTGGACCCTCTGTAGGCCAAAAATACTTCGAATTAGGCCTGCTCTTTGACCATGACAGATTTTTGTTTTCTAATTCCAATCTTACTGATGTCACAGATGATGCCATTCTTCTGACTTCAATTATGGACACTTACTTTCAGGAAATCCGTACAAGAATACACCTGAGTGCCCTTGAAGTATGGACAGATAGAAACAAAATAGATCTTACTAATCCAACTTTACAGAAAACTTTAGGCCAATTTTTGTTATACCAAAGAAATGTACTTAGTTCTAAGCTTACAGTAGATTGGGCACAACTATACATTAAAAGACATTATATCGATGCTCTTGCATGGTCCTGGGGAAAAGTGTGTACTGAGAGATATGCTGGATCTGTAAGTGTTTTTCCAGATAAAAATATCCTTGGACCTGCCACTTGGGGTGCTCATAATCTGGGTCATAGTTTGGGAATGGCCCATGATGACGAATACTGCAGATGTAAGGGTAGGCGTACTTGCATTATGGGCACTGGACGAACCGGATTTAGTAATTGTAGTATTATCCACTTTTTTAACCACGTACACAGAGAAGCAAGTTGTCTAAATAATATCCCAGGACAAGATTATGTGATTAAGAGATGTGGAAACAAAATTGTGGAAGACTATGAAGAATGTGACTGTGGTTCATTGGAGGACTGTGAAGAAGACCATTGTTGTGAGCCAGGCTGTAGACTCAGACAAGGTGCCAACTGTAGCACTGGACTCTGCTGTTATAACTGTCACTTTCGTCCGTCTGGGTATGTGTGTCGGAAGGAAGAAAATGAATGTGACCTTGCAGAGTACTGCGATGGTGCTTCAGCTTTGTGTCCAAATGACACGTATAAGCAGGATGGAACCCCGTGCAAGTATGAAGCTCGTTGCTTCAGGAAGGGGTGTCGGTCCGCATACATGCAGTGCCAAAGCATTTTTGGGCCTGATGCCAGGGAGGCTCCTAATGAGTGCTATGAAGCGGTTAATTTAGTAGGCGATCAACATGGGAACTGTGGTATTGTGGGAGCTAGTGACTATGTAAAGTGTACCAAGACAAATGCGATATGTGGCAGGATACTGTGTATAAATGTCAACACCCTCCCTAGCTTGCCAGATCATACTAGTATCACTTCCACTCATCTGGGGGATGAAAATCTCCTGTGCTGGGGCTTAAGCTATCGTCTGTCCTTGGTTCCCATGGGAATTCCTGACCTAGGTGTGGTAAACGATGGTACCGCCTGTGATAAGGATCGGGTATGTGTGAACACAACTTGTTTGAGTAATTCAGTCCTGGATTTTGACTGTTTGCCTGGGAAGTGCAACAACAGGGGCTTTTGCAACAATAACAAAAACTGCCACTGCATGTATGGCTGGACACCTCCGTTCTGTGAGGACGAGGGGTACGGAGGAAGTATCGACAGCGGGCCCCCGGGACTGCTGAAAATGGAGGTGCCCGCCTCAGTTCAGGTCGTGACCCTCATGGTAACGCGCCTTACTTTACTATTCATCTCGGTGGTTATCGTGTTTTTCAGTGGGTATATAGGAAGTTATTTTAAACCCAAAGAAAAGGAAACACCACCAGCTGACACTGAAGATGCAAAACCCAAGGCAAAAAAAGTAAGAATAGATCAACCCTCGATCAGGAAATCCACAAGCTTTTGATAACACAGGGTCATGTGTTGAACAAGCTTATTGTTTATCCAAATGGCTCTTCATTCTTCTCCAAACTCTTTTTTACTTGTTTTTCCTTCTAGTTTTAATCAGCCAATAAATGATATTCTTGATTGGGAAACAAGCCAGTGCCTGTTGCTTTCCTGGTATTCACTTGCCCCTTCGCTGGTGATCAAGGTTTGCATGTCCTAAGAAGGTGCCCCGTGGCTTTCTGAGCACGGGAGCTCTGCACGTTGGCAGCCCACAGAGCTGCAGTGGTCTGCACAGCACAGCCCTGCCTCGGAATTCCAGCAAACAAAGGGATCGTCCGCCTTTCTCTCTGCCTCCCTCAGCGTGACCGGTTGGAATGCCTGTGCCTGGGTCCCATGCTGACCAGGAAACAGTGACCTCCACATTTTAAAATTAGAAAGCGAGTCTGGCTGGTGTGGCTCAGTGGTTGAGCGTCGACCCATGCACCAAGAGGTCGCTGGTTCGATTCCCGGTCAGGGCACATGCCCAGGTTGTGGGCCAAATCCCCAGTGGGGGGCATGCAGGAGGCGGCCAGTCGATGTTCTCTCTCATCGATGTTTCTCTCTTTCTCCTTCTCACTTCCTCTGTCTCTAAAATCAATAAAGGAAAAAAATTTTTTTTAAATAAGTAAAATAAAATTAGAAAGCAAACTTTACGAGGGGTGTTCCTCAGATAAGTATTTCCCCCTGTGTGGTCACTGTCCAGGTCATTGCATCTCTCTGGTGTGTGGTCTCTGACTCAGTGCTTGGGGTCACCTCAGTTGGGTTAAGGACACTGATCTACAACAACTCTTGCTGTGCACCTCAGTCCATAAGTGGTGACAAGCCCTGGCACTATTCAGAGGGCACGGAGTCTGCTCCCAGGGACAGGTCCTGTGTGCATGTGCGCTGGGGGACACCTGGTCCAGGTTTGCCACACCCCTGAGTGGAGCAGAGGAGGGTGAGGGGCGCCTTCACTCCAAGTGCCCCGTGACTGGGGGAAGGAGAGGAGGACTGAGTGGCCCCTCCGAGGACTCAGTGTCCACTTCTCCTGCCCTGTGCGGGTCTCATCCTTCCAGAACCTTGTCAGCGCAGGTGTTTTCCGTCTTGTCCTAGTCTGAGGCTTTCTGCTGTCCTCTCGCCTGGCCCCACGGCATCTCCTTCCTCACACGAAAGCCCACTGCCCCCGCCCCGATGGCCCCTTCCCTAGCCCCATGGATCCTCTGACTACAGAAGAAGTTGAGGAAGCCTCGCAAAAGTGGTTCCCATAGACTGTTTGGGGCTGTTTTCACTCAGGACACATAAAGGTAACTCGTGTTTTGTGGTTATCGAGCTCGGTCATCACTGGAAACTGTTGTAAGGAAGCAAGGACATTGAACCACAGCTGCGATACTGGTGGCGTTTGCTGAGTCACTGCATGCCAGGCCGTGTTCTGCGTGTCTCCCGTGTATTGCTGTCATGCTCGGAACAGGCCTGTGAGGAGAAGGTGTTTTCCTGCTTTCTGAAGGAGAAATGGAGGCACAACAAGGTTAAATCACCTGCTCAAGTTTCCATAATTAATCAGTAATGACATTTTTCAAGGAAGCATTATGTAAGTATTAGAAATGTGAATTTAGAGAGAGGATTTACTTAAAAACATTTCCTTTGGCCTACATCTACCCATTTCCATTGGGAAATGTTTTAAATAAAAATTTTAATTGTGATAAAATGTACATAATATTTACCATGGTACCCATTTTTTTTCTTCACTGCATTGAGAAGTAATTGACAAATATAAATGTATAGACATAAAGTGTACAATGCGGTGACTTGTGTACATTGTGGAATGACTACCAAGATCAAAATAATTAACAGATCTGTCAGTTCACATAGTTCATTGTGGGGGTGGGATGATGAGAACGCTTGAGAGAGCTCTAAGGAAACTTCAGGTATATTATTAACTACAAGTATTATTAACTACAACCATCATGCTGTACATTAGAGTCTCAGAACTATATGACTTTCAACTGAAAGTTTGTACCCTTTGGCCTACATCTACCCATTTTCCCCTTCCCTCCAGCCTCTGGCAACCACCATCCTATTCTCTGTTCCCATGAAATCAGTGCTTTAAAAGAAAAAACTTATATATAAATAATACCACATAGAATTTGTATATCTCTGTCGGGATCTTTTCAGTTAGCGTAATGCCCTCCGGGTTCTTCCACATTATGGCAAATAGCAGGATTTCTTTTTTATGGCTGAATAGTAATCCATTGTGTACACACACACACACACACACTCACATCACATCACATTTTATTTATCCATTTATCCAGTGAAGGAGATTTAGGTTATTTCCAAGTCTTGGTTAATGTGAATAATACTGCAATGAACAGAAGAGTGCAGATATCTCTTTGGAATGCAGATTTAATTTTCTTTTTATATATATACCAAGGAACGAGATTGTTGGATCATCTGATAGGTCTATTTTTAATTTTTTGAGAAACTACCATACTATTTTTCATAGTAGCTATATCAATTTACATTTTCACCAACAGTGTTTAAGGTATCTTTTTTCTCCACATCCTTACAACACTTGTTATCTCTTGTTTTTGTTTTTAATGATAACCATTGTATAAGGTATGAGGTGATTTCATATCGTGGTTTTCATTTACATTTCCCTTATGATGAGTGCTGTTGACTATCTTTTCATATGCTTATTGGCCATTTAAATGTCTTCTCTGGGAAAATATTTATTGAGGTCCTATGCCCTTTTTTAAAAATTGGATTATTTGCTTTTTTATTATTGAGTTTATAAGTTCTTTACATATCTTGGATATTAGCCCCATATCAGATTTATGGTTTGCAAATATTTTCTTCCATTTTCTAACTTGTCTTCAACTTGCCGATTGTTTCCTTGGCTCTGCAGAGCTTTCTAGTGTGATGTGATTCCACTTGTTTATTTTAGCTTTTTGTTGCTTGTGCTCTCGATGTCTTATCCAGGAAATCATTTCCAAGACCAATGCTAATGATCTTTTCCCAAATGTTTTCTTCTAAAAGTTTTAAAGTTTCAGGTCTTATATTGTTTAGTTTAACAGTAGTATATTGTGAAACCAATCTCCTGATTTAACTTGCAAAACTAAACCTTTATATCCATGAAATAACAACTTCTTATTCCCCCTTCCCTGCGGCCTCAAAAACCTCTATTCTGTCTCTATGAATTTGAGTACTTTAGGTACCACATAAGAGTGGAATCACACAATATTTGTTCTTTTGTGCCTGGCTTATTTCACTTAGCACAATGTCTTCGAGTTTCACCCCTGTTGCGGCATGTGTTAGAATGTCCGTGCTTTTTATGGCTGAGTAATATTTCATTGTATGTACAGATGATTCCCAACTTATGATGGTTTGACCTATTTTATTTTAATCCTCACCTGAGGATATGTTTTCATTGGTTTTAGAGAGAGAGAAAGGGAGGGAGAGAGACAGAGTGAACCATCGATGTGAGAGAGAAACATTGATAGGTTACCTCTGTACATGCCCTGACTGGGCATCGAACCCACTACTTTTTGGTGCACAGGATGATGCTCCAATGAACTGAGCCACCTGGCCAGGGTTTGACTTAAATGTTTGATTTTACAAGAGTGTAAAAGTAATATTCATACAATCATTCTGTTTTTCACTTTCAGTATCATAATCAATAAATTATATGAGATATTCAAAATTTCACTGTAAACTAGACTTTATGTTATTTTCCCCAACTGTACACTAAATAGGTATTCTAAGCACATTTAAGTAAGTTAGAGTAAGCTATGATGTTCAGTAGGTTAGATGTATTAAATACTTTTCTGATTTGCTATATTTTTAACTTATGATGCATTTATCAAGACATAACCATATCTTAAGTCAAGGAGCATCTGTATATACCACATTTTGTTTTGCTACATATTCGTCAATGGGCATATGGGTTGTTTCCATCTTTTGGGGGGAGGGGTACCAAATTACTTTATTTGAAGGAATGGTACAAATGAAAAGGTGTAAGTGGATGATTTGGTACAAGTTATAGCAAAGGTAAAGGTAACCCCAACATGCACATACTGCTTTGGTGACCAGAGAAGTCACTCCCCTGGCTATGGGAAGCCAGCCTAAGGCTTAGCTCTCATCACTGTCTCCCAGGGTGTGCTTGCCAAAGAGATACTCTGCCATGCCAGTTTCAGGGGCCCCCAACCTGCGCAAGTTGGTTACGTGGTCACCCAGTTCTCTGATGGATTTCACCTGCTCATTCAGGTAGTGAGTTTCAAGGAAGTCACACAAGTGAGGGTCATTTTTGTCATTAGCCAGTTTGTGCAAATCCAGTAGTGACTGAGTCACACTTTTTTTCCCAAGTGTAACGCACACTCCATCACATTCAGCCCATTCTCCCAGTCGTCACCGTCTGGTTTCTTGATATCCTGGAGGAAGATTCAGCCATCTCATTGGTTCTGCAGCTTCATCAGTTTCTCAGCATGTTCCCTCTCCTCATGAGATTGGTAAAGAAAATGTTTGGCAAATTTCTTCAAAGCCACATCATCGCAGTCAAAGTAGTAAGACATGGACAGGTGGACGTAGGAAGCGTAGAGCTCCCGGTTGATCTGGGGTGGATGGCGGCCTCGGAGTCCTGATGGTAGTTCTAGTGCCTGCGAGGTGGACACAGTGGTCGTCATGGTGGGCAGCTATGAAGTAACACCATACTGTCTTCCACAGCAGCTGCACCATTTTACTGTCTCACTAACAATGCACAACAGTTTCTGTTTTTCTACATCTTCCCCAACATCTGCTTTTTTTTTCCTCACCCGAGGGCATTTTTCCATTCTTTGTTCTATCTGAGTGGGAGGGAGAGAGAGAGAAACATCGAGGTGAAAGGGACACATCAGGTGGTTGCCACCCACATGACCCAACCAGGGCCAGGGACAAACTGCAACCGAGGTACATGCCCTTAGTGGGAACCGAACCCGGGTCTCTCTGGACCGCAGGCCGACGCTCTAA